CAGAAGAGCTACAACTCTACAACTATGATACACAACTATGTACTGGGGCTTTGGGGAGAAAAAGAGGAAGATTGGCAACAGATGTTAACGCAGGGCCAATCTTCCTAAAAAAAAAAAAGAAAGAAAGAAAGAAAGAAAAGGTCTTAAAGCCATCCAGAGAGAAAAGACAGGTCACCTACAAAGAAAGAACAAAAGCCAACTTCTCAATAGCAACAATAAAAATCAAACACAGTAGAAAATACCATCAAAGTTCTGAGAGAAAATAACACTTACTCTGACTTTTGTACCCAGCAACACTATCTTTCAAGCAGGAAAAAACAACACGAGCAACAGAGAAGATCTGAACAACATAATTAACAATCTTGAATTAATGGGTATTTATTGTGCTCTGCACTGAACAATTAGAGAAGATACATTCTACTTAAGCAAAATTGGAACTGACAAAATCTCAGTATGTGCAAGATGATGAAACAAATATAAACAAAGTTTGAACAACGAGTATCAAATGAACCACAGTCTCTAACCACAAAGCAAAATTATTTTAGAAATGAACCAAAAGGGATAAATTTTTAAATCCCCATATAATCACTTCCATTTCTACCAACACAGTGGACCAAATGTCCTGACCAATCTGCTCAATGAAAACAACTACAAATGCTGAATAAAATATTTTCTTAAAATCTTCGGGAAGATTTTAAATAAAATCTTCTGGAATGCTTCTATGAGTTGCGAAACAAATGAACAAAAAACCAAGATGCCAATGACGGAATGCAGAGGGCTCAGGGAAGAACTAGTGTCAGCTTTTACTCTAAGGCCAGAACTGAAAAATGCACACATACGTTGTAAAACGTGACAACCAGCAAACAAAAGTAAGCAAGAGAATGATCAATACCCAATACCAGGACAATGGTCACCTGCCAGGAGTGAAAGGGTAGGGAGGGGAGTGGATCACAGGGACATGGGACTGGGAAACATCAGGTATGTTCTCTTCATCTGGGCAGGAGGGTCATAGGTATTCATTTTATTATTAAGTATCACACCCCTCAGAAGAATACATGCATCAATGTTACAAGAGCTAAACAATTAAGAAGAATCAGTGTCATCAAATTCTGAGCCCCTTAAAAATGGATCGATTTAGCTTGGAGTTCAGTGAAAATATACGAATGTATATGTATACATCTTATGTATTTGGATCAAACATTAAAAATTTTTTAAATTAAAGAATGAGTGTCATCAAATTCTGAGGCCACTATAAAATAATTTATCTCAGGATTCAGTAAAAATTTTCACACAAAAGTTCTTTCAAAATATTTCAGCTACATTCTCCGTTAAATAGACTTTGGCCATAAATAGCTGAAGGGCCAATTTTTTACTCATGCCTTTTTTTTGTTTTTGGAGTGTGTGTTTAAATAGGAGAAAGTTCTGAATTCCTAACTGATTTTTCAACATCGGAATTAAATCTGTTCCCAAGTTGAGTACTGCCTGTGTAGGATAACATATGGATCACGTATAACAGTTCTGGAATTTCCACACATGTAGAACAGATTCTGCAGTGAATGGGTATCACAAGAAGCCAAATAAATATATGATTACTTGCCAAAGCAGCAATGGAAAAATACTGTTTTCCAAACTTTCTTGTCAAATTAGGTAAAAAAAATGCATATATACATTTTTTTCACATAAATGGAATTGTATTATACATGTTTTATACATGGCCTGTTTTAAACAACAGCATTTAATGTAATACCTTCCATATCCATGAACTGAATTGTACTTCACTCATTATGACAGACACATAGATTTGAAACTCAGTAGAATTTATTTAACCAACTTCTTATTGACAGACATTTGCAATGCCTCCAATTTCCTTTTTGCCACTGTAATGTTCCCAGGAGCATCCTTGTACATACCACACACATGTGTAAATCTTATTTCTTTAGAATACCTAGAAGTAGAATTATTAGTTCAAATCATAAGAAACTGCCAATATTCAATTATTTTCTCCTTACAAAACCGTCAATGTCAACGGTGCCACATACAAATCTGAAGGATATGAACATACTTAAAGCTCTTCGTATACTTGCCAATTCATTAGTTCTGACAAATCATAGCATGTTCCTTCTTCCCTCCCTCCTCTTTGTAGTTTCAGCACTACTTTCCCTCCCTCCAATACTGTCACTTAAGCCTGAGATAGTGGCATGGATAAGAAGTGACACTGGCAATCAACACGGGAAAGAGGCATTACTAGCTAGAACTACACTGTATTTCTTTTAAAGATTTTATTTATTTATTTTTCCCCCAAAGCCCCAGTACATAGCTGTCTGTCATAGCCGCACATCGCTCCAGCCGCTGTACGCGGGACCCGGCCTCAGCATGGCTGGAGGAGCGGCGCCTCGGTGCGCACCCGGGATCCGAACCCGGGCCGCCGGCAGCGGAGCGCACGCACCTAACCGCTAAGCCACGGGGCCGGCCCTGTATTTCTTTTAAAATATAGGTATTTGGTAGAATATTATAAAAGCATACACAAAATGAAAGTAATTATTAGGATAGAGATAATTTAAGTGATATTTTAGAATATTTTCTGGACTTTCTAAAAATGTACATGATTTAACAATTTCAAAAAATTAAAAAGAGGATAGGGTGAAGAAGAGAACTGTAGAAATGAATGAAAGCAGAAGGTGAGGAGGAGGGGCTGGAAGGTTCACACTCATACTTGTATCATGATATGCAAATGATAAATGCTGAATCCTCATAAGCCTGGTACTGTGTATAGACTGAAATTCAAATAATTACTGGGCAGTGATATGGTAGACAATTTTATCTCATTTAATCAACATAATGATCCTATGGGATAGGTATTACATATCTATATTTTAGTAGATGAAACAATTACGTGCGAAGAGACTCGGCGAAGTACGTAGAATCACAGAGCTGCTAAATGCAGAACAGGCACACTACACCATGCATACTCATAACACTTCACATTCTCTCAGGTTTTATAAAGACTACAAACACTGCAGTAAGATACATCCTACTAGGAAGAGAAAATCTGGGATACACTGGTATGTGCAGTACTAACTTTCAATCATATAGATAGAAGCAAGGTCTTCCAAAAGGGAAAACTAGGACAACCTAGTAACAGTGTGAAAGGAACAAAAAAATTGCAGACTTTTAGGTCAGCCCAGAAATTATCAAAAGGAATAACTGAGCTATTTAGGCCTGTATTAGGCATTCTGGAAATCAATGTCACTAACATAGTCATAGATTTTCCTCAGCGGGTGGATTTTTTCAAAGAAATTATGCCAATAGTGATACAGATCATCTACAAAAGAGAAAAATACAATATAAACATGTCAGTTAACTAAACTCTCCCGTCACCTCCTTCACTAAAATATGAAGCTCACCAGACTGCTAAAGGATGAGGTGTAACAACGTACATGAGAAGCAGTGTGTAAGCTGGAAATCATTTTTGCAGTATGAGTAGGCCTCCAGCAATCTCTGCTGGAATCTACACACAACTTCTCTCTTCTCATTTTGCCGAACGTCACTCCCTCTCCATTCAACTCTGTATTATGGAAAATCTTCACAAGTTTCCACAAGTCCCTCCCCTGACACCTGACATTTCCTACATGACAAGAGAACAGACCCCAATACTGGAAACTCCCTTCACTGCCTGTCTCACAGTGCAGATCTTATAAGCAGGAATATCCAGTTATCTCGAAATAAAACAACCTCCCATCTTACCTCCCTCCTTCTGAATCTAACCCACATTTTCTCTTTCTTGACACTAGGTGCTGGACTGATGCAACAGGCCTCTTCTTTTTTTCATGCTCCATTTTAGTTGTCTCTGAGTCCTATCAAATCCATCCACTAAATTTGCTGACTACCAAAGTGTTTTACCTTATATCTTTCTAATTTCTTGCCTAAACGGCTGCAGAGCATCCAAACTTGCTTGTAGCCATTTTAAGACCCAATCTATCCCCAGTACTGCCATCACGTAAGGGTGGTCTTATTTTAAAAAAAATTCTTTTCAAGACATCCACTAATAAAATTCTTTAAATGGCTCCCAATAATCTGCAGGAGAAAATCTAAAATATTCTCATTACATGATGTGGTGCCTATCTCTCTCACCTGTTTCTTCTCAAACCACTTTAGCTCAGATTTAAATGCACCATGTTTTTGATGGTTTCAAATGACACTTTCTAGGGGAGCCACCTTGATTCCAAACCCCCGCTGGGTTAGCAGACCCTCCTATGCGTGGTCACATCGATCGTGTTTACCAACAGCATAGGACTGAACACAAAGTAACTGTTTACAGGAAATCCTCCACTAGCCTGAGGAATTTAAATATGCAGATTATGTCATTTATTTCTGCATTCTTGACCCAGAGTAGACATTTAGTGCATATTTTTATTAAAATAAAAAACTACTAAATGCATTTAACTGCAAAATTGTATGTACAAATGTCTCCCTGATATTCATTAAACATTTTTTTTGGCACTCTTCACTAATACTAACAAGTAACATTTATTTGGTCATACAATTGTGTTGGTTCATTTAAGCCATATATACTTATTGCCTAACTAATACATTAGGGGTAAAAAGTAAGCTACTCTTGGTGTAAAAAAGTCAATTCTGGCTTTATTATGCAAATTGCTATTGAGATCATATGGGTGTAGCTGGCTCTGATAATAAATTCTACATCTGACAAATTTGTTGATCTTCAGGCATGATAATTATGCTTGAACTAAAGACAGAACAATGGTTGTGTCACTTCGGATTTACTGTCTCCACACAAAAGAAGTATCTTTTAAGATTTGCCCAAGCATACAAAAATTCACAGAGTTAAAAATTCATAATTTCCCATTGGTTAAAAGATTCTCATTGCCATACAGTGACAAATTTATATTCTCCCAAATGTTAGGTTCAATCTAATTCTAAAATAAAACCATGTAATAAACAGGACTCAAAGAAACAAAAAAAAAAGTATATTAAAGCACCCTCCTATACCTGTTGATAGAAGAAATTCAGAGTTGGCTTGTCCTCAGTAAACTGGTTTAGAAATCCTTTTGGCAAATAACGAATTCTCAATTCATATCTAAAAAATAATTCACAAAATAGAACAATTAGAAATAAGTAATTCTCTCAATTCATAGTCTACAATTACAATATTATTGTGTATGGTATAGCCAACTACTCTGAAATATTATTTAAAAAGTAAGTTAAAATATAATCAACTAATTTTTAAACATAACTTTTTTTATTTTCCAGCACAAAAACATGCAGATAAGTGTGTACAGCTCAATGATTCTGCAAGGACACAGAGCATGATGAGAAGACATCCCAGCCCTACAGTCATTCTCCACCACCAGCCAGGGGCAGCACCACCTTATACTTCCCCCAAAGGCTAATTTTACATGCATGGAATCACACGGTATGTTCTCTTTTCTGTCTGGCTTTTTTCATTCACCAATATGCTTGTGGGATTCATCCATATCTAGTAGCTGAAGTTTGCTCATATCTGAAAAGGGTTGCACTGTATGATACACCACAATTATTCACCCACATTGTGGTTGACAGCCATTTGAATTATTTCTACTTTTTAGTTATTAGCAATAATGCTTCTATGAACACTCTTTTTTTCTTCCTCTAAGCACAAAAAGGTAATTTATTTGCTCAGGAAGCCAAGGTTCAAGAATGATCAAAACAAATTTCATCAGAATGCTCTCCCTGTATCTTTCTTATTCTGTGTGCACGCACGTGTGTCTACTCATATGAACACTCTCATGCATGTCTTTTGGTGAACATAGGTACACACTTCTGTTGGGTATATGGGTATACACCAGGAGTAGAATCACTGGATCATACACACATCAACTTTAGCAGATATTACCAAACAGTAAGCCAAAGAAGTTGTACCAATTTACACCCCAACCAGCAGCATGGGGTGTTCTGGTTCCTCTATATCCTCACCTCTACTTGGTATTTCTAACTTTTTCATTTTAGTCACTCTGATATTTACTGCAATAGAATACAGTGGTTTTAACTGGCATTTCCTTGATGAGTAACGAGACTGGGCACTTCATCTTATGAAAATTGGCCATTTTGGCTATCTTCTTTGTGAAGTGTCTGTTAAGTTTTTGCCCCTTTTTTCCTATTGGCTTGTCTGCCTCCCCCACCCCCACCTGATCTGTAGGTATTCCTGATGTATTCTGGACGTGAGGCCTTTGTTACTTAGTGAATACCCTCTCCCACTCTACAGCTTGCCTTTCACTCTCTTAAAGGTATCTTCTAAAAATTATTTTAAACATCTTTCATTTTAATGTTATCTTTTGAAGAAGAAAGTTTGTAACTTTTATGCAGTCCTTCCTATTTGCCTACCCAAAGGTTATAGAGATATCTATTTTTTCTAAAAGTCTTATTAATTGATCTTTTAAAAAATGTCATAGGCTTACAAGGAAAAAAACGCAAGTAACCAATACAGTTCTTTTGGTTCAGTTAAGGGTGGAAAAAATGTAAGATACACATACACAAGTTCTGCTGAGACTTTTAAATGTCCGTCTTATTAAAATATACAACTACCAAACAATGAGGTTCCATTTTAATTTTACTCTCAGAAGGAGTTCAATAACCTACTGCAGATATTCGACATTGTACAATTATTTGTAGAAGCATAATGGATTTCATTTATTTTAATTTAGAACTTACCAGGCACCTTATATGCACTATTTCTCTTAAACAACATAACAATCAGAGAACAGAAGTGTAATTATTCATACTTAGCAGACTAGGAAAATGATGCTCAGCAAGAAGAAGCAATCAGTTCCAAGACTGTATGCTCCAGAATTAAACAAGACACAAGAGGCTTTCAGTATTAATGTTATCCCATTTTAATGATAAGAGACAGGTCCAAAAATCAAACATTTGGCAGCCTGGCTCCACATCCATGCTCTTAATATCCAGCATCCTGACGTTAATGATGAATATCAACTAACACTTAGTGACAGAAAATTGTGATAAGCATTTTACCCAGATGACTTCTTTTAATCAGCAACAACACTATGAGAAGCAGAAAGAACAGGGGCTCTGCATTAAGATGGCCTACACGAGAATTCTGGCTCCATCACTTATTCACTGTCACATCACCTCTCTGTGCCTCAATTTCCTCATAAGGTTGTTGGGAGAAATAAATGAGTTAGTAAACACAAAACTCCTAGAACTGCCACTGGCACATAATAATAATGGTCTTTAAGGTTTACTTATTACATTAGTAATTACTCAACAAATATTTATTTCACCACCAATCATGTACCAGGCACAGTTCCGGGAGTTGGGAATACATCAGTGAACAAAACAGGTAAAGTGCAGACTCTCAAAAAATTTCTATTTTTATGGTGGAAGTCAGACAGCAAATAAACAAATATCTGTGAGGTGGTAGTAAATGTTATAAAGACCAACAAGCAAGGTAAGGGGAATAATAAACGATGAAGTATTGTTTTATAAAGGGTAGTCAGTGAAGGATACTCCGATTCAGTGACATTTGAACCCAGATCTAAAGGAAGTGAGGAAGGGAATTATGTACTTATGTGCAGGAAAGAGAGTTCTGATCAGAGGGAAGAGAGTGTGTAAAGGCCCTGAGGCTGGAGGATGCTTGGGAAGGCAAATGCAACTTGAGCCCACTGAGTGAGGACAGTGAATAGAAGGGCTTCAGAGAGAGGTGGGATCAGGAGGTGGCAGATGATGTGGGACCCTGCACATCATGACTGTGGGGCTCATCCTCAGCGAGAAAAGAAGCCACTGGAGCACCGCACACAGAGCACTGTCATCACAGGATGTACATTTCAAACAATTAGGCGGGCGATACTATGCAGTACAGACAACAGGGGGCCAAAAAGAAGCAGGAGACCAGGAGGCGACTGCACTACTCTGGGTGAGAAATAATGAACAGTTTAATATTTCACCCTATTTTCACAGATGGGGGAAAAATTCTAGGGAATTATGTAATTTGCCCAAGTTTCCACAGCTATTAAGAGGTAGACTTGGGATTCCTCTCCAGCAAGAACATGTATGAAAGGAACAATGAAACTAAGAGAAGGCACCTCTGGCTTAAAACACAGTGGAACATAAACTGATCTTGCATACGTGGTGGTAGGCAAGGTCTTTAGATCGTGTTAAGGATTTTGGCCCCTGCTTCAACCCATTACAGTTCAGCATATTTCCCCCTCACAACCCTACTGAAACTTTGCACCAGGTCGCCTAATTCAATTCCACAGACCACTCACCTCGCCTCAGGACTTAATCCACAGCACCCAACGCCCATACCCACTGGTCCACTACTGCCAACATCCTCACTCCCCTTATCCTCCACAAAACTTACCGTTCTCTTTATACTTCTGTTACTATTCTAACATTCTGAGATACATTTTTACTTCTCCGCTATAGGCCACTCCATGGATTTCTGAATAGCAGCTAAATATAACATGCCCCAAATAAAATCATCCTTTTGCTTCTACTCCTAAGTAATATATTCCTATTAATGCCACTGACATCTAACTTCCTCAGTCTTATCACCAACTACGAGCACCAAGATACCCACAAGCTAACCAACTAATGGTGGTGATGAGTAGCAAATGTTTTTGAAAAGTTAAGCTGGACAAAGAATCTGATAACCCTGACACTGAGAAGGATTAGCTAGCCAGTTTGTGTATAGAGAAATAAAGTATAGCTTCATGAAACAACAGAGATGACTCTTGTAAACAATGTGATGTGGACAGCTCTGTCTTATAATAGACTTCCAATTTAAAAAAACCCAGAAGGATGGAAATAGAAATTCATCATTTGGCAAAAATTATAGTAATAATCACTGCAAGAAAGAATCATCAGTGATGCTGATATTAGTGGATGAAAATACAATGGTAAGTCTCCTTATATCCCCAGAAGATATCTCTTAATTACAAGGGGGGAAAATAACAACTTTGTAGTGGAGAAAACTGGTCACCACCTTAACCAAATGATCCAAGTTAAAATCACAAGCAAAATGAGTCATATCACCATTTCAGACTTCATGATACAACAAAATGAGAAAGGCACAGCATCTTGACTGTGGTATTCTTGCCAAAAATGCATAACCTCGATATAATCATGAAAAAAAAGTACCAGACAAACCCAAAGTGAGGGACATGGTACAAATAACCAGCCAGTATTCTTCAAAAGTATCAAGGTCATGAAGGACAAAGACACACTGAGGAACTGTCCCAGATTAGGGAAGACCTAGGGAGACAGGACAGTGAAAGGCAAATGTGGTATTCTGAATTAGATCCTGGACCAGAAAAGGGACATTAGGTGGGACAACTGTGAAATTTGATAACGTCTGTAGATTAGTTAATAGTATTGTATCAATGTTAATTTCCTGGTTCAATAGTTGTACTATGCTTATGTGAGATTTAAACATTTAGGGAAGCTGGCTGACAGGTACACAGGATTTCCGTGTACTCTTCCTGCAACTTTTGATACATATTGAGAAAAAAAAGAAATTCCTATACGACTGACCGTTCTGTAGCTGTGGTAATAAATACCCACCAGAACCAGTTCTGAACCAGCTTGGTCAATAAATAAATACCACTGACTGACCAGTATCTGGTGCAGAAGCATCCAGTAAACATTTAGTTAATAAATCAGGAAATTTGGAAGTCCATCCTGTTTTTTAAAAGTGTCACCTCCAAACTTCTCAGAGTGTTCCTCTATTTACTGTCATACTGCTTTAAATCTTTTTAAGAACTCTTGTTGAATTCAGTATTATAATGAAAGACTGGCTTTTCAAATTAAGGTATATGTATATGGAATGTCATTTCAAGGTAACATAGAAAACTGTATCAAAATACAATCTAAAACTTCCTAAACTATCATTACTCATTTTCTTTGAAAAAGGACATCTTTCCTCTACGCAAAAGATTTTTTTTCTCCCGCAAAGGTCTGAAAAGAAAATCATCTCTTTCCAGAGTGAGAGGAGCCGTTTAAAAGCAGAGAACAAAGGAGAGCTAAGCAGGAGAATGTGAACCACATCTTGATAACAATGAAAAGGATTTTCTTTTTCACTTG